TTAAAAGAGTTTTTTCCTCATTATTTATGTTAACGTCGGCTCCCAGTGTATTTCAGTGTACTGTTAGAGTAGGTTCTTGTCAATATCATTTATCATTATGCTGCAAGCAAAACATTTCCTTCTTAATTCTACTTCAAACTTCTATTATATTCCATTATTTGATTTTTTATGATATTTATATTTACTTTATATTTAACAGTTATAGCTCTCATATTACTGTGTCTATTTATGAAGAACGTCTTCTCCGATAAATAAATTTAGGATATTCTGAATTCATTCTTGATGTTACAGTATAATCGTTATGCTCGAATTTCTTTCCAAATGTCATGAGCAAGTAGTTTGTTAATATTAACTAGATATTATCACGTATTTCATTGCCGGTATCATCGTTAAGTTGTAAAACACTATTTAAACGTTACAATGGCAATATAAACATATTTTTTAACGTATGTTTATAGTGCTTCTATTATCACTGTTAAAATATCTCAGAAGGCTTTTAATAAATTATCTAAACAACATCTACTAGCCATACTTTCTTACAGGCATAATGATGTCAAATAATGAAAATTTCGTCGCTCATTGATGCAAATGTTGCAAGGTTAAATACCTTATTAGTTGTTTACTAACTAAATTAAACTTCGTTTGCTTCGACGAATTTTCGTGTTTGCGCTGAGTCTAAACTTCAAGAACACGGGCAACAGTTAAACCAACTAAAAGATTTATTACAAAAAAACTATGAATTGTAGTTTTTAGTTAAAAATAAAATATATCAATTATTAACCTCCACTAATTTAAGAGTTTCGGAACTCAAGTCCAGTGGTACCACGGTATATGCCATTAATCCGTTCCAAATCCTTGGACGTATACCAAACGAAAATTTGCACTAAGAAATAAAGGGAAAATAAATAATCCGTTCTTTTAAAAAATCCTTAATAATAATAATAATAACAATAATAATAATAATAATAATAATAATAATACAAAGTTAATTGCAGTGGGTAAAATATATGTTATACCTAAATGAAGCAAGGCGTAGCATTGTCTCCAAAAACAAGTAAACAACGCGAGTAGTAGTGACTCATTGAAGCCGAATCGTATTCCAGACAAATATCGCGGTTACCAAACAAAATTTTTCGCGTCCAAACATGACGGATACCAAATTGGACGCATTTCAAAACGGATGTATACAAAGGTACCTCTGTATTTAAATAATTATATAACTCCAGGTAACGGGGATTATGAGCATGCATGTTAACAAATAGAAAAATCAGTCACTAAACAGACATATCTATTTCAGGTTGCTTTCTGTGCAGTCTCAATTTAATTTGCATTTTGATGAGAACTGACGGAAAAAACAGAAGGTACAAAAAAGAATTAGCATAAAACCTAACAGGATATCTAAGCAAACTTTGCAAAATGATATTGTTATAAATAATAAATATTGGTAAAAAAGTCAAATTCTGGATAATAATCGTTTGCTAGAAAACCAACCAACCAGCCAAGCAGACTATAACATTGCAAACAATACCAAACCTTCAAGGGGACGCTTCAGTGCTATATTCCTCATTCCTTAATGTAATAGTTCGTTGTTTTGATTTGCATTCCCCATTTAGTTTACACCAACCGTTTCGAATTACCTTGTAATAATTATTCTAATGATTGTTTACAAACTTATGAATTATTGTAGGCAGATCATAGTAATTTCCCAAAACGAAAACTATGCGAAGAGGCAATGGTTAATTTTTCTACGATTTAACTTGACTTTTTCAAGATCGTTTATCGTGTATCATTTTTCGTTGGGTTTCGTTGTATCATTTTTATATGCTCTTGATGTTCTTTATAGTCTTTTCATTCTATAAAATACCAATTTGTAGAATAAGCTAATATAAAGTTTATAGAATAAGCATATGTAAAAAGCTAGTTTTGCTTTTGGTGTAATTATTTCATTAACCTTTGGCACAGTGTCATTGGTTTAGTTTTCTGTATTCGAGTGAAACACGTTAGCATATATCAATCTTACATTAGTGTCAGGTTTATAGAAAACTATCGATTTCGAGGAGGTCAGGCCACAAGGTCCGTTTTCTTCAAGGCACAAAAGTAAATTGAAATACAATACTTTTGTTTCCGTACATGACAGCCTTCATTTTTGTCAGATTTTCAAGAAATTGGTAATGTTCTAGGAAAGCAAAGCAACCACTCGAGACTAATTTTTACTTAAAAGGCATAGACTTATTCTTCTCATATGTAAAATTTGGTCTTATATTTGACACCACATTATCAATTAACATGTATATATGACTGACGTTCTGAAAGAGATGAGGAATTGTTTTATTGATTCGTGGTTATTAATATTCACATTTTAGAATAAATTTTAAAATACTGAGGCTATATTATACTCATACACTGACTTTGATGCTCGCCATAATTGTATCAGCAATTATAATGACATGATGAAGAATTCTCTAATCTTCAAACTCAACATTTATTTGTTATTTAATTCTTCTATTTTCCGAAATTGTATGCTTCTAAAGTTGAAAAAAAAAAGCTTTCATGCATTAGCCAAGATCAAAATTTATTGGAACTAAATCAAATGTTAGTGTCCTTGGCAAAACAGCTTTTCCGTGTATAATCTGCTTTACAAGCATTCCACAACTCATCTTCTAGTATCAATTTATCCACACGGAATGGCAACAACAATTGCAAGCATAAAATTTCTTCCTGGGATCAGAATCCCCGCCGAATGTAAATCACAGTCCCGTAATTCTCCGTGCACGACGAAGTGAGAGAATAAATATTACCGTCGCGGTAGGTCGAAAATGCTTTATAACTCTACATTTCTTTTTTGGTTCGCATCGTAAAAGCCAGAAGTTGTAAAATAAATCTATTTATTTCTTCACGGTCTTGAAAATGTCTGTCTTCGGCTTAGGCACCTAAAGGTCAAGTGTTGCCTGTTGACAAGAAAATGCAATACTGTTTTAGAGACTTGAGTGCTGCAGTAAATTTGCAGCTTTTCTTTAAATTTTTATTTTATTGCTGCGAAACATTCCTTGTACCCATACTTTTATCTGTAATGATGTATTCCGTAACTGCATTCTGTATTTGGTGCATAATAAGAGCTATCTATGAATTGAATTTAGTTATTGGAATTCAGGATTGGCTAATCAGATTCTGTCGCAGCTATCCTATCACGTATATAAAGTATGTTATATTAATACAAGATTAAATAGCCGAAATTTTCTCCGTTTTGTGTAGTATATTAAAAGAGAGGAACTGAATTAAACTGAAATTACAATTAAGAATTTAAAAAGTTGAGTACATGAAGTTTATGCCACATAAGATATGCGAATTATCCAGAGTCTGCCAAATAAATCTTGGAATTTTTGGCAAATTTTAATCTTGGATTTTACCTTATAATTAAACTTTAAACCGTGATTAGAAACCTATTTATTAAGCTGGAGCTGCATGGATATTTTCTGATTATCACTCAATAGATTCACACAGAAGCAACCAAAAAAGTGAATTATTTTACTCTAAAGTAGTCATTAGACATTAGGTTGTATCGATGGTGGATCATAAAAAAGCGCAATGCCCTGGCCAGGACTCGAGTTCTGGACCTCTCGAATAAGTGTCGTGTATGCGTCCAGTTACACACCGAAGGCATGCGGAAAAGAGAGAAAATACCTCATATATATTTCCTTTTGGATATTAGGGGACCATTTGCTAAATCCTGGTGCTGACGAATTATGGTTCACCACCTTTTAGTTCGGACGTCATTTGCAGAGTCATTAGGTTATATCGAAACTGGAACAGAAAATAAAATGTGTCGGGCCCTCGCCGGGACCCGAACTCTGGACTTTTCGAATACACGCCGAGTATGCATTAAATTACATCAGGAGAACATTCGGAAAAGCGGGGAAAATACCTTATAATCTTTATCATTATAATCTAAACTAAGTAATTAACTTAAACTATTAAATCTAACTAAATTTAGATTTTAGTATTGTTTAAATTTTATAAATAATTCATTTGGATTAACAACAGCTTATGTTCTGAAATGTGCCATATGCTGCCTTTCAGTGAAATTTATTCATGAAATCATAAGCACTTTATTAAAAATACGACTTTGTACTTTCACCCTAACTACAGAGGATAATCCCGTTTAAAAATATCCCATTTTAGTATGATTTTAATGCAAACTGATCACAAGAATAAATGCGCATGAATTTAAAAAAAAGAGTTACTTCACTTTTATTACTAAAATGTGCTTCCACACCTGATCCTTTTCACACGGAAAAATCGCAGCAAATAGTTAGTTTTAAGTCAAGCTGTCTACAACATGATAGAACAGAAGGAAACAACACTTTGAATTCAGACTATTCAGAGTTTGAGCTCAGACTTACGGAAGACGTGGCAGTTTGAATTCAGATTGTTTCGAAGTCTAAATTCAGACTTAAGTAAGTTTGAATTCAGATTTGCGCGAGAATGTGCAGTTAGAATTCAGACTGTCCAAAATGTTGATGTTTTAAACGTCTGAATAAAATACTTTATCTTTTAAGAGTCCTGGTAGAACGTCTAGCAAAGTAACATTTACCTTGTGGCTTGGGATTTAAATTTCATGTTTACTCAGAAACAGAAACAGAATCCGTGCCTTCTCGTATCTTATGTAACGTTTAATTCACGTCGAAATTGTCGCTGGTTTAATATTACCTGACTGCCTACGAAACAAAGAACGGTAACGTTTCCTTCAGACGACACCATTTTGTATTTTACTAAACGGCGCTGAGCGCACACCCAAACGGCGTTCTAATAAATCGTCTTTAAACTAATAGCGCACATTCGTAATGTCAGCTTCGGAATTTTGACGATTTTATTTTACATAGCATACGTTTGAACATGACATACTGTACTTTTATGTTTTTTATTTTTGTTCTTTTTGAAATATTATGTTAGATTTTTTTTATATTTTATTGAACGCTAATTAATTCTTTTATTTATTTCAGCTCTTCAACTACAGACCTCGCAGCTCGACGTGGAGTGTTCAGCAGGAGAAGATATGGATCCGTCGAAATGGTAATTTTTCTATCACTGATTTATCTTTAATTATTTATTCTAAAACTGTAAATATTTTAGTGATGAACTGGGTGCATTACAGTGTTTTATAATAAATTAACTAAAATAACGGGAATGATGATAATACGTATTATATAAATAACAAAGAAAACTATACGTTTCATTGCTATTTGTATAGTCCGATTAACGAATATGAATGTATACAAATCAGGGATTTCAACTGGATTTGGTATTGACCCCTGGGTTGACGAAATTTTAAAGGGGTTTAGTAATGATCAAGTGGTCGACAGCCGAATATGCACCGGGTATTGATTGCTGTAATCAAGATTCCATTGATTACAAAAACAATTATTAATAAAATGGATAATTAAATGTTTATTGATGAAAAGCTGTATCATGTAATAAGGCTGGCGTATTTAATTATGGCAAAGCACACTGGGGCTATCTGCCTAGGGATGCCTTCGTGAAGGACTTTCTAAGGGAAAGTGGCTCGTATACACGTTACACATGGGGAAAACCACGAAAGCACCCATGCAACCAGCCCGTTCGTGGGATTCAAACCTCGGACCTAACAACCAGTGTTCAGCGACTTTACCGCTCAGCCGCTGGTGGGTTCCACGTAATAAGGAAGAAATCACATAAAATAAGTAAAAGAAAAATAATATGCTAAAGTTATTTAATATATTTTTAAAATCTAAAATACTTTTTTAAATATAGAAATGTTTTATGCAATAAGTTTCATGTTCGAAGTGTAAATCGCAAGAACACAACAAAACACAATAAAAAAGTACCAATTAAGAAAAACTAAAATAAACCAGAAAGAGGCAGAACATTTTTTTAGAAAAATTATGTCAATACATCAGACACAAACGTCACATTAATTAAAATCAAATTTTGTGCAGTTAGAATCTGTGATTTTGTGTCTAAGAATATGCTTATATTTAAAAAATTAAAAATAATAATAATACAAAAAATAATTAAACATAAATTTAACAAACCATTTTTTTCTAAGCGTTTGTTCACATCCTGATTGTCGTTTTTATTTTATTTATGAGCAATTATTTGTTTTATTAATATGTTGTAGAAAAATGTAAGAAGGTCGATGAAGAAACCAATGTTTTAATAAAGGTCTATACAAAAGCAAAAAGCGGGGGGAAAGAACCTTGTAATCACCTAGGAATTCCTGAGGTAAATAAAAGTAACTAACACAACGTATGTTTAATTAATTTTTGTTTAATGATTACATAGAACATAATTGGATTCTTTGCATGCAATGCTATGGCCACAGTGTAATTTGTAACTCTGATAGGTGACGTTGAAGACACTTGAAAACACTAATAAAGCTCAAAATCTTTCTTATTAAAGATATAAGTCGGTAAAAAATTAGTACAGATACATTTATGTGTTGATTATTATTGTAATTCTTTTCATATGAAATGTCTTCTTTTGGTAATGTTATACAGGATATTGATCATAAACCAAATGTAGAAAAAAATTAAAAAGTGCACTTGCTGGATTTGGATGTATTACTTCTTTAATAAGTATCATGCTAGCATACATTTTATGCTCATCCATGTGAATTAGTTTTCTTAATCAACTGTTTATTAGATGTTGAAATTCATACATAAACCTTGTATAATTATTTTATTTCGAACACTTGTTCTTATTTTTTTAATACAGTGAAAACAATTTTAGGCTTCTATTTTATTTTTTCCTTCTATTCTTCACATAAAAACTCTTTTTTGAAAGGTATAAAATTGTATTTGCTACATTTTTATTTCAGAATTAATTATAGCCGCTAACTTTTCATAACAGCTTTTTAATAAATTTTATCAGCTAAAATGACGGTGAATTTTTTAGTTTCAGTACTTTTCTCTATTTTCAATAATAGTGCAAATGCTCTTTCTTCTTTTGATTAATAAAAGTAAAACGTTTCTCACACGAATGCATAGATATTTTATACGCGTTCTTGATGTGTAAAACCAGTTAGGTAATAAGAAAAAAAAATTAAAAATCATAAATTAAAATTGGAAAGATTCAAAGGTATGGAATATTTTATTGAAATCTAATTTAACAACGTAAGGAGTGTTTGATGGTTAATTTAGCTAAAGAAAAAGAGAAACTGTCCTTAAAATAATTAGCAAAAAGAAAGTTTGGGTAATGAAAATATAGAGGGCAATACTGACCGATGTGCAAATGTAGGTTTTTTTTTATACATTTATCTTAAAATGTATTCTTCCCGCCTTAATTAGCATGCTTTCGTAGTGTAGTGGTCAGCATGCTCGGCGTGAATTCGAGAAGCCCCCGTGAAGGGAAAACCTCGGGAATTTCTAATTCTAGTCTCGGCGAAGGCCTTGCTCATTTTTCCTTTCTCCTGCTTCCGAAATAACCTAATGTCTGAACAGTGGCCCCCGAACTAAAAGGGTGGTGGATGATGATTCTTCACCCCCAGGATTTCGCGATTGGGTCTCCTAATCCCCAGTCGCTCTTTAAAAGGGGGAGTATATAAGATATTTCTCCCGCCTTCTTAACATGGCTTCGTAGTGTAGTAGTCAGCACGCTCGGCGCATATTCGAGAGGCCTGGTTCCGAGTCCCGGCGATGGCGTTGCTCATTTTTCATCTCTCCTGCTTCCGAAATAACCTAATGTCTCTCCAATCTTTTTAATAATATTAACATATATTATTAAAACTCATCATGCATTCTATAAAGGATTTATACCAAATCAGAATTCTTGTTTCATTGCTAGCGTCATTGGTCATGCATTTGTTTTTTGTAATACATAGCACGTTCCATAATGTTTCAAAATTATAAGGCAAGAAAATATTTTCTGTAATTTATGAAAATTACCGTCCATTTCAGGCATATATTAACATCAAATGGTTTAGAAATCTGTCACCATGACAGAAGTGCAGTTTTCCTTTGATCGATACGAAGGCCTCTTCATACAATTATTTGGACAAATTTGTCATATTTGTTTTTCTTTCCATATTTTAGAAAGTTAAGAATTCATTTTTGTATGCTAAAAAGCACGCACTTATTTCGTAATTAATGTACTTTAATCATTAATCTGAATAAATTTTTTGTAAAAATTATGATACAGCAGCATACTCAAATTTCAGGTCACGACGGTTTTTAATGTTTTCATTTCAAATATTTTATGGACAGGTCTAAATTTGAAAAGCAGTTTCGTAATATATAAACCTAAGTCTGAAGGGAAATTTTGTGATGTTCTTAAGCAGAAAATGAAACGATTCGGGAAGCGTAACGTCTTCGAGGCACTTCCTTTGTGCCTTCGCACACATTTTCGTCGACGTCCTTTCACTACCGTTCTTCCTCTCCTTTGAAGGTTTCTGAATCTCTTTTGCAATTTTTTCAATAGATTTGCGAACGTAAAGCTCTATTCAGACTATTTCAGAATAGCGCGTACAAAATATACATAAAATTGTATTCGTATTTTTTCTAAAGAATTTCATAAGATCTAAATATTTTATGGAATATTATAGAATGCAAGAATCTATAAGATTTCATCAGAACTGAACATGACTGTGTTACGAAATATATATCATATATATCTTTGCATTAATACTTGGAATAGAAGAAAAAATAACTGTAGAAAAATATGCATGAAAATAAAAATAGTACGAACGAATGAATCGCTTATCCCATCTGTTGCGAATTGTGCCAGATTATATGCTCTTCCCAAAATTCATAAAAGTGATATTCCTTTCCGCCCTATTGTCAAATTTAGGCACTGTTGTCGTATCGCGTTAGCTAAATAGTTTTTAGTTTTCTGGATTTTCAACTCTATTAGGATAATAATATTTACACCATAAAAATTTGAATAGAGTTTGTAAAGAGAAGTTAAAAGCATTTCTTCTAGAAATTTTACTCATGGTTTCTTTTGATGTAAAATCATTATTCACCAATGTTCCAGTGGAGGGTGCATTAAGATCCCTAGAGACCAGACTTCCTGAATTTCATTTCTCTTGCATCGAAATTCATGAGCTAATTTCCCTCTGTTTGAAACAAACGCATTTTGTTTTTCCAAAACGTATTTTGTTTTTAAAAACACGTTTTACAAGCAAACTGAGAGTTTAGCCATGGGAAGTTCCCTCATTCCCATCCTGGCTAATATCTACATGCATTATTATGAATCAAAATTGTTTGAAACTTTCCGGTTAGGTTCCGCTACGTAGACGACACTTTTACCCTGTTTGTAGGTAATAAAGAAGATTCAAATAGAGTTCTTTCAACAATTGATTCCATTGATCTTGCTGTTCAATTCATTTTTGAACTTGAGACTTGCAATTCTCTTTCTGTTTCTCTACATTTTGGTCACACGTAACACATCCAACCTCAGGACTATTTCCGCTTATATTTATTGTGAATGTTAACAAGAAAGTTTATTTAAATCAAATAAAAGAAATATCCAAATCTACCTGCATAATTCTATATAGTATATTTCAAGGTATGCAGTAAAAATTTAGGGCACATATTTCACGTTTAAAAGAATAGTTTGAAACTGAAACAAAAATTAATCTTTTTAAATAATTAATTTTTTTAAACAAATAGTTATAATATGTGCATTTTATCATTCTATTTTTAATTTATTATTAAAGAAACTACGATTTTCATAATGAAACGGAAAACTTAAAAGAAGAGTTGAAAGAATGCTATGTAACTTAAAATAACTAAATTTATAAGCAGCGTTTGTATCAACTTAACAATGTTAGTAAAGTAATTTTTCAAACTATTAATTTTTTTCCAGAAGTTTTTTAAAGTTATCCAGAAAATTTTAAATATAATAGTTTTTTCTCATGTACTTTATTTGAAAATTTATTGTTATATAATATGTATTATTACCCTTAGTACTTATTCAATAACGTATCCTTAATAGTATTTTTGAAACGCGATCAGGTAGTTATCAAAAGATATATGTATTTTAATGTGTATTGTTTCACTCTCCGTTATCAAGCAGTTAATTCTAATTCTTATCTA